TTTAATAAATGTTTTCTTGTCAGTAATATCTATGAAAGCTGATCTCCAGACTCTTTTCCCACAAGATTCCTGGGTGGATCAAGCTTTTGTTTAATAGTCAAACACAAAGTGTCTGCAGCACCCAGGAAACTGAACACACGTATAAGAGAAACAGTCTAGAGTGTCTTGTAAAAAAAATCTATACATCTTCTCACAGTAATTATCAGGTTACTCTGTTTTGGAGGATGTTATTTTATTTTAAGACATCATTTTTATTAAATACACTGTAGTACAAGAGACTTTCCATGTCAGGCTGAGAGAAGCTGGTCACAAAATTTACAAACAAATCTTTTTTCTTTTTTTTATTTCTTTAAAGAAAAACATTGATATTCAGGTGTCACTTTGAAATCAGCCAAGATGCAGTGGGTCTTTTAAAGCAATGGACCTCAAAATAGGTTGCAAAACAAGAGTTCGTAATTATTGGCACAGAGACTTCACAATAAGAAAAGAAACCAAATTAAAAGCAAGTTTCAAACACCAGGTCACAGTTGAAGGGGAGATATATCTGCAGAGAGACATTGAAATATGTGTCTATGGCCCGGATATATACAAACATCTCTCCATAGACAGAAGCAAATATAGAGTGTCCATATCTCTAGGCAGATTTGTAACTCCTAGGTAATGATCAGGGAAAGCGGGGAGCAAGGTCTCACCAGAATTGGTCATTGGTCAAGGGATTATATATTTTAAATACACATTTAATTCAAAGACCTTGTATTGAAAGCATTTCCATCCATTTTATACATTTGTTAAGCAACAGTAAAATATACAAACAGCAAGATATAGGCCTTTTCCATTCATTTTCCCCAATTGTGTATTTTGTTGTTTTCTTTTTTCCTGTTCTAACACCTAGCTATTTGCAGCTTTTATTATGCTTGCTTCTGCATGTTAAGCATTCAGCCAACTTTCACTCAGGACCAATTTTTACTTATGCACAAAAATAAAATCAACACAGACCTGGCCTAGAATGCATAGACTGTAAAAAAATGACATCCCCACCTTTTCCCATTTCATCTCCTGAGACTTATGTTAAAATGGCAAAAGAGTTACTTGGTTGCTGTTGTGAAATTCACAGTGTTTTGCTGCAACACATATACATGTTTATTTATTTTTTGCTTTGCTTTGTGTTTGTGATGAATGGAGCAAAATATGTATGTGTGTGTAAATAAATAAATATAAACATAAATCAATCAATATATATAAGAGAAAAAGACAAAAAAACAAGATACAAGAAACTTTGACTGAGCAGCAGTGTCTTTTCCCAGCTGTCACAACAAGAAAATATACTGCCCTGTGCTATATTTAACTAGAAGTCCCACCCCACCCCAGGTCCTTACAGTAACATTGGAAATTCACATACAAGTTATCATAACCTCATAGTCACTTTGTTTCACTTGTGAAGAAACTGTCAAGTTTGCTATTTGGCTCCGGAGCCCCGTCACTGCCGAGTCCTCTTGTGAGAGTGTGAGAGTTTCTGTAACAGTAATATGTGGTCAAACCAAAGTTTGTGATTGAAACTGAACATTCTCAAATGCAGAAAAAGCGCCCACATGCACACACACAAATGGGAGAACAAGGGAACTGAAGGAAGGTGTGTGTGTGTGTGTGTGTGTGTGTGTGTGTGTGTGTGGTGATCCCTTTAATTATACACGACTTCATGCTACTGGCATAATAGAGTGTCTAATTTGCAAAAAGAACGGTTAATAAAAAAGCCCATTCCTGACGAGGGGATCCTGTTGTCATGGCTCTTTACAAAGGGCAGCATTCTCCTCTGTTCATCATTGCATTCAGACATGGATGTGGGAATTCCCAAGAGTTGCTCATCTCAATATGAGGTCTTGGACTTCTCCCCACTGACCTCTGAGACTCTGAGCTCCCAACACCACAGTTATTTTCCTGGAATGCATGGACTCTGAACACAAGTGTAAAAGGGCCACAATGGGACAGTGTGGGCATAATGAAAATGAGCAAAAAAGAGAGAAGGGTAGAAATAACTTTTCCTTTCCTGGACCTTTGCATAAGGAGATCTGTCTCAGTCTTCATTTTCCCTTGCAAGGATCCAGAGAGAGGACTTGTTTTAGTGGAATGGCTTTGATTCAGTTGTGTTGGGAAGCACATCCTCTGAAATATGTCTCCCACCTATGCAGTATTGCACAGAGTTGAAGAATTCAGTGTAGTCCTAACAATATGGGGAATGGAAGCACTAACAGCAAAATGACATTAGAAAGTTTTGGTTATTTAGCAGATTTTAAGCAAATTATTCATACTATGCCCTACTTATAATTATTTCTATTACTGTATGCCTATAAATTTATACATCAACACACAAACACATCATGTGTGTTCATATATGTATAAATCGAGTATTTATAACACACATATAAATACATAAACATATTACAAGTAGCACTGATGTGAAACACATATTTATAGTATGAATTTTTATATACTCTCTATAGCATAGTTCATAATGCTTCTTAAATAAGTCTGATTGTGACATTGGTTCAATGTACAAGGATTTAGCAGAAGCCATGAACAGGATTATATGTCACAATATTTCAATTGATTGCCATCTCTTATGTTACATATTCTAACTTCCTATCAGGGTCCCTGAAATTAAGTGTGGTGTCTTTCCTTAACCTGCTGCTAGTAAAGTAGAGCTTTCCACATCTGTCTATTGAAGTAGGCTGAATGGCCAGCATCAGGAACTTGAGAGTCACAGCACTTGGATGAAGTCTCAGTGCAGGCACGCTGGAGACTTGGAGAACCCTGCTTCACTTCTCTGAGCCCCAATTTCCTTGGGAAAAAGCTCATGCCTTACAAGTTTCAAGTGTGTTCATTATATGGAAAATGTTTGGAAAATGATTACACTCATTGCCATAAAGTTGGAACCAATTCACAGTTGCCCCTTCAGTAGGTTTTCAAAAGCTATTGCCCATCTTTCTCCTGTGGAGCAGTTGGTAGATTTGAATTACATACCTTTGGGGTGGCAGTGCAACCCCTTACCCACTAGGCCACCAGAGCTCAAATGAAAATAATGGCCCAAACTGGGTTTAGGCTACAGAATTTGGTCTATGGTCATTGAATCTGAGAATGAGAATGTTACTTTTAAAAGAATTAGAATACCATGAAAAGAGGAGGTGATGGAAGAACAATGACAACCATTTTAAAATGTTCTATGACTCATTCCATGACTTTAAGAGCAATCTGGGATTCTTTCAATGTGAGATGTCTCTGAAATCAACACATAGTCTCGAGACAACAGAAGAAATAATAATTAATAATAATAATAATAATAATAATAACAACATCAGTATACATAGCTATACAACTACAACTTTGCACTTGCATAGAATCTTTCCATTCAAGACCTTGAGGGACTTGTCAGAAGGTAAGAAGTTGATTTTGGTTTTTTGTTTTGTTTTTGTTTGTTGGTTTTTGTGGTGTTTTTTTTTAAAGATATTTTGTTAGTTTTTTGCTTTTTATTCTTTCAGAGGAAAATACAAGACTGGGATGGAATGCAGTGTGCTCTCATCTTCTCATTGGCCTTCAACTCTTGTTCTAAAACTTCACAACCCTCCTTGATCCCTTAAAACCTTGATCCCTCTCTTAAAACTAAATAGAAAACTTGAACTTCTTCTGCCAAAGCAGCTGGCCAGTTAGATAGGACAAATGTGTAGATTTCTAGATCATTGCTGATGGAATCCAGGAAAGTTGTGTACAAATTTATTTCTTCCTTACTGCTTAACAGAGCCCCACAGTGTTTTAACAGTACCATGGTTCCTTAGTATGATATATACTTGCACATATATATCATGGAGATATGGCTTTCATTATATTATTATGTGTATTCTGGAAGGTGTTTTTGTGTTGATTTTTTTTCACTGACAAAGAGAATAAGCAACTTAACATGCATTTCTCATAGGCCAGTATGGAACTCATAGGAATTCTGGGGCTAACCAAGTCCTATACCTCTGCTCAACCACAGATGCTCCTGGATTTTCTTTTGTTCTCTGTTAATTTATACTTTTGAAATTCTGAGAACTGGTTTTCAAAGCCTATAACTGAAAATAAGATGTCCCAGTAATTAACAGGTGCAAGCAAAACTTAAACAGTTATTGCATTTTTAGAAACAAATATGAAATAAAATTAGCTAAAATGAATTTTAAAAATCACTCCTTTCCAATCTGGCTCATGTTATAAAGATGTCAAGTTAGCAAAATTTCCCTCATAGAGGGTAGCAAATTTTCATGAGTAACAGAAAGTATTTTCCTTCTTGCTATGACTGACCATTCAAACATCGTAAATTTCAATTCAAATCCATACCCTCTTTTCTCAAAACAAATGACTATGTCCTGATGCATATCTCCAAAACTCAGCCTTGGTACAACCTCTTATTAGCATACTGTGCCTATTTTTATTTACTGTTTTAAATAAAGTGGAAACAATAAAACAATATTCTCACAATGAAGGACAGTTAGAATGAAACCACTCTTCCAGCCAGAGCCCAGAGCAGAACCTTGGCCTGTTTACATTAAATATCAATATATTGGGTATCACAGGGTGAATTCTTGCTCTCAGACACTGGTTCTGTCTTTCCTACAGTCCCATGAGTTTAACTGAATAAGGACATCCAGTATTCAGGGGCCATATGAGTTAAAAACTCATCATCACCATACAATGCAGAGACATAGAAGCTCAGCTAATGAACACCATTAGCTTCTCTTAATTATATATGTTATATCCCTTATAGATCTGCTCTACCTATTGGGGCATGACACCTGGAATGGTAGTTTCTGCACACAGGTATTAATTGACGAAACCATGCACAATTTTGTTTGCACAGTTAAAAAGATGAGTGGAGTGAAATGTAGGGTTTAAGGAAGGTGCTATCTGAAAAGTTCAGTAGAAGAGAAGTTAAGACTTCTCATTATAGTGTGTCCCAACTCTTCCAAGTCCTTGGCTTTCACATCTGACCCTTAAATTTTCTCTGGCCAAGAATCTACCTTTTTTCAAACTAATGTGCCAAAGCCTAATTGGATAACACTTTAAAACAAGCCGGTGCTGTCATCAAGACCTACAAATTACAAGATTGTATCTAAACATAAGAGGCACCACCTTGTGCCTCACAGATTCCATCTTTTCTCTTTTCTACACTACAATGTCTCTGATTATGGGAAAGAAGTGTCCCATGGCACAGAGTTCAACAGTCTTTTTACTCATCAGAAAGATCCTGGAGGAAGGTGGTGAATAGATCCCTTCCAGCTAACAGTTGCTTGGTTCGCCTAAATTGGGAACGATGTCAACTGATCACAATGGTTATCTTTGTTCTTCCCATACTGTGGTTAATAATAAATCTTCTTTCTCTCTGTTTTTAATCTCCCATAGATAAAAGCTTCCCAGACTGAACATAAATTTTCGGGTTTTTTCCATGTACAGGCTTAAGCCATCCAAAAACAACAAGAACAACAACAATAATAATAAATAAATTTAAATGAATCCATATAAACTCCCAGTGTCTGTACAACAGAAGTGACAAAGTTTGAGTCAAATATTTGTTTTCCCTTTTTTTCATCCACATCAAAGGCAGGAATACAACAAGGCATTGTTAATTGTGGTGGGCAAACTGGAGGGTCTGCTGATATAACAAATTAGGTTTTTTAAGGCCTTTGTCTATGCAGAGTTAATAGTAATGCCGAAGCCAGATCAAGTTAAAAGAAAGGGTAAGAAGTAAGAAGCAGGAAAATAATTATCATAATAAAATAAAAACTGAAGAATGAACCAAGGGAGATGGAAAGAGAGAAGAGAGAATGCCAAAAAGAAGTCAAGACTGTGTCTACAGATGGAGTACACATTGCTTCCCTCTGAAAGCATCTTGGTGTCTTTGTTGTTAATACTGTCAGAGTTAAGAACAGCATTTTGATGGCATCCAGCGACAGTTGAAAGATGTTCATCCTGTCACCCATCTGAGGAGGTGTGTTGGGAAGGATTGGCCTGGGAGAAAGCGCCCTAGCCTAGAATATCCAAGTAGACTGGAGATGCCTTGGCCAAGTTCTGGAGAAGAGTGTGGATGCCCTTGATGTTCTTCCGCATGTGTGGTTCTCGCTGCCAGCACCCCAGCATCAGCTCATACACCTCCTGGGGGCATGTTCGAGGTCGCTGCAGCACTCGGCCCTGAGTAATGCATTCAATCACCTGGACAGAGATCAAAGAAAGGATCAAGCATGAGAGAAAAGAAAACAGAAAAAATTAATGCACTGCACAGAGGAACAGAAGAAATCCACTCAATGCCCATGATTATTGTTACTCAAAAGATAAAAATGATAATATTGTTCATATCACAGCAAATATGACAGATTTTCCTCCATTATTTAAGTGACTCTGTATGCTGCCAACCCTAATGTGGGTGGCTTGAATCTATCAGCAAATCTTAGGGAGAAACACAGACAATCTCCTCTAAAGATCCCAACTTCTGAAAACCTGCTGGAGGGTCAGCAGTGAGTTGATTTGGACTCGATGGCAGTGAGAATTTTTTGAGAGCAAGAACAGTGGGACACTGGAAGTTCTGTGGTAAAACTCTTGCTTTTCATGCAGAAGTCTCAGTTCAACTCCTTGCCAGTATGCCTCATCAGAAGGTTCTAGCCATCACCCGTCTGTCAGTGGGTATATCCATGTTATATGATGTTGAAGAGGTTTCAGTGAAGCTCTGGATTAAGAAGAACTGTTGTTGTTGTTGTTATGTGCCATTGAGTCGCTTGCGACTCATAGCAACCCTATTGACAACAGCCCTAAACTCCGCTCTGTCCTGTGCCAATCGCACTGTCTCTGACACTCCCATTCCAATTATCCAAGTCACCGAATCAATCCACCTCATAGCGGGCCTTCCTCTCCTGCGCCGTCCCTCCACCCTACCAAGCATGACGTCCCTCTCCAAGGACCGGTCTCTCCTCACAACATGTCCAAAATATGTTAGACAGAGCCTCAGAATACTTGCCTCCAAGGAGCCACCCGGTTTAACCCTTTCCAGGACAAATTTGTTTGTTTTCCTAGCAGTCCATGGTATTCTCAATACTCTTCTCCAGCACCACAGCTCAAAGGCATCAATTCTCCTTCTATCCTCCTTGGTCATTGTCCAACTCTCTGATGCATAACAAGTGATTGCGAAGACCATAGCCTGTATCAGATGCACCTTAGTCTCCAGATAGACACCAGTGCTCTTCAATACTTTGAAGAGGTCCCTAACAGCAGACTTTCCCATGGCAATCCACCTTTTAATTTCCTGACTGCTGGTGCCAAGACTGTTGACTACGGAGCCAAGCAAACTAAAGCTGTGTACAATCTCAATCTCTTCACCATCCATCCTGATGCTGCCAATTGGTCCAGTGGTGAGAATCTTTGTCTTCTTGACATTGAGCCTCAATCCATATTGTAGGCTGCAGTCCTTGACCCTCTGCAGCAGGCGTTTCAGGTCTTCTTCAGTTTCAGCAAGCAGGGTTGTGTCATCCGCATAACACAGGTTGTTGATAAATTGTCCACCAATCTTGAGCCTACATTTCTCCTCATAGAGCCCAGCCTCCCGGATAATCTGTTCTGCATATAGGTTGAAAAGGTATGGAGATAGGATGCATCCCTGGCGTACGCCCTTCCCAATTTTGAACCATGCAGTGTTCCCTTGCTCTGTTCTGACGACTGCCTCCTGGTCCAAGTATAAGTTTCACATTAGAACGATCAAGTGTTCTGGGATTCCCATTCTTCTCAGAGTCAGCCATAGTTTGTTATGATGTACACAGTCAAAGAAGAACTAGGAAAAATAAAATCTAATAATCAACTTCTAGAAACCAACCAATGAAAACTGTATGGATTACAAGAGTCTAACCTGTCATTCAATCCGCATTGGTCAATATTTCCTTTTGTGCCTGGGATCATCATGAGTCAAGGTCAAATTGACAGTATCTAACAACAGCAATGGAAAAAGATTTTGGCCACATTAAATGTATGCAAAATTCAAATGAGAATTCCTTTCAGGTGAATGTGATGACTGATTAGGGAACTCCAGGCCACAGAAAAAACAGGTTGCCTTGTACAATGAAACTGGATGAAAGATAAAGGTTAGAAAATATGAGATGCCTGACCAAGAAGTTGTACATATTTGTAAAGACATTATAATTGTAAAGCAAAATTAGTTTTTCTAGTCAATTCACTAAAGCTAACGTTCTAGTGAAGTTAATGTCCTAGTAAAATGTAAAGAAAAAGGAAGAATCATGAGACCTTATTGGAACAATATTAAACATTTGCTGGACTAGGGAGCTGCTACAATCCTACATCTGCAACTAATTTCTAAGATATTCATCAAAAAGTCATTTCTCATTCCCATCATCAGAGCCATATCAGCAAATATGTTGCTTTTCTGTGTTTAAAACTCTTCATTTTTGAGGGTAGCTATATGGTGTCCATGACCTTTAGGTACAGAAAAGACAATCTGGGGCAACTGCCTTCACCAAAACCACATCAGATTTTTGGCTAAGAGAAGACCCTCAACTGAGGGAAGTATTGGCCTTCTCAGGGGAGTCTCAGCCCCACCTCATGCTCACCTCATTATTTGATAGTTGGTACCAGGGCTGTTTGCCATATGTGAAGATCTCCCACAGCACAACCCCGAGGCTCCAGACATCACTCTCTGTGGTGAACTTCCGGTACATGATGCTTTCTGGGGGCATCCAGCGAATGGGCAACATAGTGTGGCCCCCAACCTATGGAAAAAGAGACATGAATCAGTCTTGGAAGCAAGTTCCCATCATCAAGAGAAAAGACACCAAATGAGGTTTAGACAAACATTTTTCTTTCTTGTATTTGAATTAATTAGTCTTACTTGTTTATAAGGGAGTTCTGGTGCTTTATTAGTAAGAAGCAGGGCTGCATACTCTGTGGAAGAAAGATGGGCAATCTCCTCACTTGTGGCTTACTGCCTCTGGAAATCTGCTAGAGGGTCAGCTATAGGTCGTTTCCAATTCGATGGTAAACAATGACAACAATGTGTTCATAAGCACATAAAGAAATTATGATTTCTTCATACAATTAGTTCCTGAGTTAGGACAAATTACATTTATGGCCTTGCTTTCCTTGGCAAGTTTTATTATTGTAGTATATATTATTACATGAAATGTCACAGCATTTAAGTTACCTATGTCATCTATCTCTTGCCAGGCTCCAAATTAAAAAGATTATGTTCATTAAATTACTGTAGTGGTGGTGTTGTTATGTGCCATCGAGTTGCCTAAGATTCATAGTTATCCTATGTACAACAGCCCTAAAACCTGCTCTATCTTGTGCCAATCTTATTGTCTCTGGCATACCTACTCCCAGTACTCCAGTTACTGAATCAATCCATCTCATAAAGAGTCTTCCTCTCTTGTGCTGTCTCTCCACTCTCCCAAACATGATGTTCCTCTCCAAGAACTGATCCTTCCTTACAACATGTCCAAAGTATGGCAGATTAAGTTTCAGAATCCATGCCTCCAAAGAGTAGCCTGATCTTACCCTCTCTAGGATGAGCCTGTTTGTTCTCCTAGCAGTCCTTGGTATACTCAATACTCTTCTCTAGCACCTCTGCTCAAAGGCATCAATTCTCCTTCTGTCATCCCTAGTCATTGTCCAGCTTTCTGATTCATTGCAAGTAATCACAAAGACTATGGCCTGGATCTGGTTCACTTTAGTCTCAAGTCTGACAACGTTGCTGTAGTTTCTCATAAAAGGTAATAATGATGAAAAATAAAAGAAGAAAAGGGCTTATGATAGAATAATCAGAATCCAAGTTGGACACTATTTTACTTTCAAGCAACAGAGAGAGGATAAAGATAATTAAAATATATTTTATGTTATTTAAATTCTTTCTCAAAACTATGTAGGAATATGGTTTGCTCCCGGTTTTCAGTAGCGAAAACCTCTATATAATATTCATAGAGACAGATGGAGAGTGTATATTTATATCTCTGTATGAGGATAATTTAATTAATAAGATAACCTTGATCATAATTAGGGATGCAGATGGCTACTATGCTTTAAATGAAAAGTTGGAGGTGCAAATTTGTTCAAAAGAACCTTTGAGGAACACATCCTCCTCACAGGGTCCTTAGAAGGTGTACTTCTGGCCTTACTGTGTGACTCTCAGGTCTTCTGCACTGCTAATCACCAGGCAATCCTCCTCACAGAGTCCTTAGAATGTGTACTTCTGGCCTTACTGTGTGACTCTCAGGTCTTCTGCACTGCTAATCACCAGGCATTCAGATCAAAATAAAAAGCTCCTGCTTCCTTTAAAGGTGGGAGGGTGATGCAAAAGAGTCAAATGGTGATTTAGATGTTTTCCTATCTGGTCATTTATTTTATGTTTGGCATGTCTTGGGACAGAATTTTACTTTAATTCTGTCAAGAATCCCTTCTGGGGTTCCACACATGCTGTTATAAACAATGCTTCCCTTGTTCTGATGTCAAATGGCTGAGTGGTGAGAGAATCAAATAAAAGTTCACGCAGGGTTCACCAATTTTCTAAACTCACTCAGAACATTTCTTTTGCAGATATTTCTCATGATTTGGGGGACATGTCACAAAAGCAGTCCAAAAAGGGGAAGGGAAGCCACCATTATTACAAATTAGTGTCACATTATAATCACAAGGAATCCATGATATTTGGACCTCACAAAACGACATAGTGAGTGCTACAACAGACACAATGAAACATTTCTTTTTATTGTGTGACTTGGTAGATTTCCCTCACACCCTTGCTTAAATATTTGTGAGATAGAATAGGATCTAAAGATTCAAGCATGACATTAGGAGTCAGAATTTCCAGTCTTGACTACCACATGGACATGGCTCCAGAAGAAACACTCCAACTGTCCAGGTGGGTCAAGCAGCAGGTACTCTACTACACTCACCAAACTGATTTGATGCAAGATGAAAAAATAGATGAAAAGATAGATGGGAAGGGGGAGTTTGTTGTGGACTTTAAATTTTTGTTTTCCTGAAGCTAACAGCTTTGGGTTCTACTTCCTTCTGGGCTACTAACTAGCTTGGAGAATTTACCTTAGTTCTGGTTTATCAGTTTACTGACAAAATATGAAGGGTTGTACCATTTATTGCCATAGCAGTCATCTGTTATGTCTCCTCAAAATATATATCACCATTAAAATTAATAAAAAATTATGTATCAAAGTCCTAATATTTTTACCTGGGATCTTGTGTTGTTTTTTGGTGTTTTTTGTTACATTAATGTGCTTATAACAGAGGATGGTAATCACTATTCAGTTATTTAAAGGGCAAAACAAATCCAGAAATACTCACACAAAAGAATGACAGACACCATGGAATCTCTAGACTCTCCAGCAAAGAAAGATCTGCCCCTAGAGCTATACTTTGCCATCCAGTTGTAGTATTTATTGTTATTATTCCTAGAGCAATACTAGGAGGCCCTTGTAGCCAATTGCACTTCTTTTCTCCAAGGGAGAAATGGGTAATCTTTTCCCAGGCTATGTATAGCTTCAGAAACTCAATGGAGGGTCAGCTACAAGTTGGAACCATCTCTTTTGAAATGAGTTTGATTTTTGTGTAAATCTAAGACATCATATATATAATGCCTCATCATTTAAAAAGAATCTTGACACAATTATGTCATTTGAATCCAGCGTTATTCCCTGAGATAGACTTTTTAAGTTTGTAAATAATGATCAAAAGTTCAAAGAGTTTATCTACTTTATTTTAAAAACATGCAATATTCCACCCCACTGATTATCTCAGATTTAGTATCTTGAAAGCTTACTCTACGTTTCCAGCTTTTCTTGTTCCCTGTGCCCAGTTAGTAAGCCCAGTGTAGCTTCTCACTGAGGCAGAAGTTATATAATACTCTTGAGAAGTCTGACGTTCTTTCTCAAAGATCTTCTAGAGGTATATTCACATTCCACCATCTTTCCAGCTTAGTTATTCTGAGTATCAGGGAGTTCAATGACCCTAGCACCAGATGTGTGGAATCACTTCTGGCTTGAAATGACCACAAGTGTGTCACAGTGGAGTAGTGCTCCACAGGATGTGCAAAAGCTGATTATTTCAGAGGTAAATCACCAGGATGTTCCCACAGGGATCTTCAAGGATCTATCATCAACCTTCTGATTAGGAGCTACATGCTGTGACCACTTATACCTCCCAAGTTTTCCAGTCCCCTTAATATGACACTTGAAGGCTCTGGTGTTGTAGTCTGTGGAAGTCTTGCTGTTAACGCATAGGTAGTGCCTCCCTAGCTAGTGGTTTAAATCCACCAGTGACTCCACAGTAGAAAGATGGGCAACCTCCTCCTTTGAGAATCACAGTCAAAAAGCCTAAAAGAGGGTCAGCTAAGAATTGGCTCCAACTCGACAGAAATTTGAACTTCAGTAGTATTTTACATTAGTAACACCAAATACCATCCTACCCAGTTATGCCTGGCAGGAGTGGAACCTGTTAATAAACCTATAATATCTGCAAATGGAACTTCTTGTCAGAGCAGGATTAATTCATAATTGTGTTCTTTTAAAGAAATTAGTGTTCCTTAAGTCTTTGAAATTTTAAAAGAATTGATGTAATTTTGATGATTGAATGTCTTGAATTATGGTCTTTTAAATTACCTTAAGTACATGCAAAACCGAACAAGGAAAAAGAAGAGAAGTAACGCATTTAAAGTGTGGTGTTATTGCAAGAAAATGGAAACAGCCCAAATGTCCAAGTATAATAGAATGAGTTGAGAAATCATGTTATATTCACATGAAAGAATACTATGCAGCACACAGAAGCAATGATTTTGTAAATTACTACCTAACTTGGGAGGGACTGGAGAGCATTATGCTAAGTGGACTAACTCAGTACCATAAGGACAAATACAGCATAAGATCATTATTGTAGAATGAGAATGGGGCTCCAAGAAAGGAAGGAGGGCTGAGAATCTGAGGATGGGCGGGAAGGGGGACAGAGTTAATTATAAGGTAGCACAATGTACATAAACTTTGTAAATAAGAAAGTATAAAAT